TTTTTTTTTTTTTTTATGTGCAGGAGTTACTTTTGGGATGACCCACTGTAACGCCCCGTTCGATTTATAGAACTTCTCGAAATATTCTATTTATCGAATATTATTTATACGTTTATATTTATTTTATCAGTCGCGATGTCGACTTAAATTATAGGTTAGAATACTCAATCGTTTTATTGAAAAACGTTCGTCTTTAGGCGATTTCAGTTTAATCGCGTAGTTCGGATTTAACCTATTCGTTTATTGAATTTTTTTCGGATTAATATATATTGGCATTATTATTATTATTATTTGAAACAATTGCCTGATTTATTTTTTGTGTTGCTCGACAAATTTCTCGAATAAGGTTATTATAATTAAATAGATGTTCTCGTCTATTTAATCTTCTTAATTAATTTACCTAATTAAAAATATAAAATAATAGGATGTCCTCGACCTCTTAATTCTCCTTTGTGTGTCTTATATGTGTTATAACAGTTCCATTTTATTTTCCTAAATGCATCTTTTCTCGGCCCAAATAAGCAATTATGCGGCCCAACTTAACTTGATGTTGGCCTAAAATCTTAGCCCAAGCAACCCATATTTTCGTCCCAGTAAATCCCCAAAATCCACTTCTCTTCCTTCTCTCGTAGCCGGCAAAAAACCTAGCTCCCAACAATTTTTCTCGGCAGATCATCGCCATCTTCCGGTGAGATGATAAACGACGACGTGAAACCAACGACGACCTAGATTTTCCAGACGCGACTGACGAGAGCACCAGACCTTTCACGGTGGGGCGAGTTCGATGCGCAGCAGAGGCGAGGTTCGTCCACCACCCAACCGGCGACGGAAAATCCCGAGGGCCATCAGATTTTTCCAGCGAGGCGAACACACTAGAAGGCCGAGAGCAGGCCCTTCTAATCGCTGCTAAAACCCAAGCTTCCGGTGAGGCGAGTTGAGCACCCCTGCTCGGCGGACTGAGAGAAGACCGAGAGTAGCGATTCATGGCCGAGAAATTCCGAGAAGAAGCCTATTTCCCCGATGAGATTCCCGTCGAGAGCGGCTGACCGGGCCTCGAACGATGAGAGCAGACTGTCGCGACGAGAGCAAGTTTCCAAGGAACCGGCTCCAACGAGTTCCGTTCGCGGCAGGTGCCACCATCGCCGGCAAGGCCATGCCCGACCCGACCCTCTGCGGGTGAGACGAGTTGTCGAGGACCAGAAATCCTTCACTGGCAATCATTGAGGAGAGCCGAGCTGTCCGCGAGTCCCGTCGGCCTTCGCTCAGGCCCAAACAGCCGCAACACTCCCCGTCGGCTTCTTTTCCGAGCAGCAACACCTCCGTCGGCCTTCCGTTAGCGGCCTGAACAACAGCGGCAGCCCTTTCGGCCCCATGCGAGAGTCGGGAGCCTTCGTTCAAATCGTACCCGAGCCTTTTGGAATGCCGAGGGCCCTGTTCGTAACCGTTCAGCCGCCACGAACCACGATTTTGCGCCGAGCCAAAGAACGGACAGAAGTCCCTCAGCCGAAGGGTACAACCATCTATAGTCGTCACAAACCCCAGCCACGAGCTGTACGTGGCCAGACTGTGCGGAATCAGCCGTAGTCCCTTGTGCTCGAGAGGTAATATTGGTTGAGCTTTATTACCTCATAGTGGTTGAGTTTTAGATGCTTTTTTTTTTATGTGCTATTAGTCGTCTTGCTTGTTCATGTTACGATTTTCGGCTGAAGTATATATTTTGAGGTGTTCATATCCAGTCAGAATTCATGTTACGGATTTTGTATTGGTTGATGAGGCTACTTTTCAGGGTGAATTTTGGGGGATAAATCATATTGTTTTCATGCTGAATATTTGTGCTTTAAATTCAGTTTTAATTTGGAGTTATAAGCATGATTAGTTTTTATAGTGTTTAAGCATGAAAATGTATGCTGGTGCCTTCTACGCTTAGAACTTGTTGAGCCTAGCTATATGCGTTATATACTGTGGTTTTGGGTATAAATTTAGAGGTTAGTTGTTCCTTAAAAGCATTGAAAAAGCATGCTTATATGTATTGTTGTTAAAGAGAAAGAAGATCATGTATATGTGTTAGATTCTTTTGCCTTGTTTGTGGTAATCTTGCGGCTATGTTGTGCTGATTTTTATGTTGTTTTTATGTACTATTTTTTGTGTTAATTTCATGCTGTAGTGGTGCTAAAATGTTAGTTTTAAAAACATGCTTAAATGAATTATTTCTGAAGAATTAGTGCATGATATTTATTATTTGGTATCATGTGGATTTCGTGGCATGTATAATTGATTTATGTTGAGCTTCTTGAGTGCCATATATGCTGAATTTATATGCATATTTCAGAGTTGACTGAGCATTATTTGGAAGGACATTAAGGCATGCTTAAGAATAGAAAAGAGAAGGGAATAAGAGGATTTCATGTTGTTGTGCTTTATTTTACCTAGATAACTGTTGAGTTGAATGTGTGTTTTCTTGTTGTTTTGTGCCTTTGTTTCAGTGTTGAGATTCGTTTATTAAAGGCCTTATTATATAGACGTGTTAGAAGAATTGTGTGCTTTATCTGTCTTAATTGTCTGCCTTATGTGTTATTACTTGTTACTTGTTTGCGTGGCTTAATCAACCAAAGCAAAACCCTTAATAATAGTTAATACCTAATTTTTAGGTTGAGGCGTCGAGCCCTCGACCTACGTTCTTCAGCCTGTGTGCTAGTGCCTACTCAATTCCCAGGTGGGTTTTATTTGAAAAACATGCTATGCCTTAAATATTATTACTGTTTCAATTGTGGTATGATCAATGTATGTAAGCGAACCATGTAGCCTTCGATGTGAGCTGTATCGGTCGTCGAACGGTTATCCCCTAACTATAGAACGACTCGGATGGGGTAATCTCCTCTTTACGTCCTTGCGAAGGACACTTCGTTTGTGACCAGGGTTGTGCTCGGTCAGCGATACGTACCCCGATATAAGTCCAACGGCGAGGCCGGGCCTTCGGGGGAGACTCCTACTGGCTGGACACTCGTTGTAAGACCAGAAGACCGAGGGCCGTGGATTTCGATATATAGTCGGCATTAGTCTATTGATATAGATGTGCACATGAGAACGAACTTGGGATAGGAGGTTGGGATAACTAATTATTTATGTACTCATGCTGCGACCATACTTGTTTATTTATGATTAATGTTTATTGCATAGCGGTGAGCACCTCGATTTTTCTATTGTGTTCATCCCCACCTGCTCTTCATGGATGCAGGTTAGTAATGACGAGCACGACGGAGGAAGGCGAATGTTGGTCATTTTGATGATTACTTCCG